TGCTGTGTTCATCCAGCTCTACACCTTGTTACCACAGACAGGACTAGCTTGATTTTCTATGCAGGAGCAAAATGTCATTTGTGCCTTCTCATTTATAACTACGTATTGAAAGAGAAAAGGAACTGTATTCATTTGCCTAATGTTCTACTTGCTAACCACACACCTTCCACTCTTTTTACTTTTGGTTGTTTGCATTAAAGAACATTACCAACTGGGCAAGGATATATCAAATTCCTACAAAACTTGTCTCCTTTATTTTTAAGAAATTTTAATGAATCTACATTTAAATTAAATTGAAATATGATTCCTACATGTGTATACCTACAGAGTGCTGATGGAGTGTACATTTCTATAGCTTTAAACTTTAATGTTGTATTGTTCTTAGCTTTTTAAACTTGATACTCAGGTATTTAAACTTGGTGTTAAGCTTTACATCCTTGACTCCAGAAGTTGATAACATCTCACTGTATTTTTCCAACACTTTGTTCAACCCAATGACTGTTTCTGCTGTATCAGATTTCCTGATGGTGTCAGAATCTCTTCTGGCTGATGAACTGGCAAGGCCAAAGCCTTGTACGGGTCTGAGCAACATGGGTTATAGCGAGGTTTGTGACAGAATCGGATGAGAAGTCTGTCGAGACTGATCTCAACATTGGGAGCAACCTGTTACATATTTTAAGCTTTTGACAAATGAATTGGTCAGTTTATTGCTAGAAAGCAGCAAATTGTCAGATAAGGGGAATCACTGCTTATTAAGCGGCTTGTTAATGGTCCATCTTGCCTTGCTATTCTGCTTTCTAGCTTCAGTCCCTTCATCCAATCCATTTATCTAAATTGTACAAGAATGAGACCCCATCATTGATCCATTTGGTACACCATTTGTTACACCTTTCCAACCAGAAAATGACCCATTTATGCCTACTGTCTATTTTCAGTTATCTAGCTTGTCTTTTGTCATGCAATTGTGTTATCATATACATTATGAGCTTGTATTTTCTGAAATAACCTTTGATGTGACACCTTGTTAAATGCCTCTGGAAATCCAAGTGCAGAATGTCCACTAATTCCCAATGATCCACAGCTTGTTACTTATGGAAAGAATTCCTTTCCCAAAACTGTGTTGACTCTGGCTGCTTTAAGGTCCCGATTCATTTGTTGACATTGTAGAGGGATCTTTACTTATGATGTGAGTGTGCTATAGCCAACCCAGGAATTTATGTTAGAGATAAAGAAGAGTAATATTGGACTTGAAACATTTAATTCTACTTACCTCTCCACAGATGCTGCCAGACCTGTTGAATATCTCCAGCATTTTCTATGTATGATAAGGATTAGAGTTGGAAAAGAGTGGAAAATGCTCCATTCTCCAGCATTGTAATCAATTGCTTTGATGAACACAGATAGCACATAAATATTAAATTGTTAGTAGGAATTAAAAGCCTGGCTTTAAATTTAGATTTTTACTTTGGATGACTTTTCCAGAGAAGCAATGGCTAACTCTTGGTATCGTTAGACTGAAAATAAATACCTTAGGGGTTGTCATTTCTATTTCTGTAATCGGTGATGCATTTGATTAGGATTATCTGTCATTGATATTTTAAACAAACATAATGCTTTCATATGATCACCTTTGTATTTTGACAGAAGTGTTAGTCTATTGAAATATTAGAGTATAATATCAGTGCTGTTGGTACTTTCTATTAATTGTTTCAGACTTTTAAGAGTGACTAAGAAAACAGAAACTGTGGACTGTAATATTAGAATTACACAGCTCCCTCTTAAAAGACTGGCTTGGAGATTCAATTTTGATAGATTTAACTTCACAAAGATTTTGAAATATAAGGGCATTTTATGTCAGAAGCACAAATAGAAATCCTTCACAGAATCCCCCACAAGATGAGTGTTCATATATGAATATTTTTCATTACCTGTTTCATAATCATTTTGTCCAACAGCTTTCTGGTTAATTTTAATTCAAATCTTGTAATTTCATGCACTTCATGTCCACATTGTGAGTTGCCATTCTGTTTTTGTCACACGTTTTTCATTAGCATTTTTCTACAGAAATACGATTTGCTTATGTAAAATTGTCATGCAATAATTATACAATTGTGCAGATCTGGTTTTGGGGGTCACAAGGAATGGAGGAAGGTAGGTGTGTCAGAATCAAGGAATAGGGGTTGGCTCTCAGTGGTGAATCCCCTGACTTAGGTCCAGACTCTCAGTCTTGCACAAATTAGTGCAAATCAAATAATTCTGCCCTCCTTCATCTGGCAATCCCCTATCATGTTCTGGAGAAGGGTTACTGGACCCGATACATTAACTCTGCTTTGTTTTCACAGATGTTGCCATACCTGCTGAATTTTTTCAGCAAGTTCTGCTTTTGTTTATGATTTCAGCATCTGCACTTCTTTGGTTTTGTTTTTTGCTTAGTTTCCTACCCTCACTGGTTTACTAGTCAGGTAGGCCAGCTCTTTCTTGTTTTGCCTGGAGCTGAAATAATTGCAGTCCAAGTGGGATAAGGCCTTTAAATAGTCACAAATTGACCATTTAAGAGCCTCAACTTATGGCTGACTGGAAATGTTGGGATTGTGCCTTCTCACCCAGAATTTAATTCCTGTCGTGACAGCACGGCAACTTGTATCTCCCTGATGCCAACTCAACTGATTATCTTCCCTCGTACCCGTTTGACCATCTTTCTGTGGAAATATGATGTAATCATCTCCATTTTCCTCTCACACAAAATAAAACAAAGAACTGCAGATATTGAAAATCTTTGCTGTTTCTGGCAACTGAACATTGCCAGGAATGGGGAGAAGGAAACTGCTCGTTTCTAAGTCATCATTATTGATTACCAAGCACTGTCTGCAGAGTTAACAAATTGTATCTAAGTAAAATTATGATGTAAAGAACTATCAAATCCATACCAAGAACACCTAAGTGATACATGCAATTTGAAGTTACTGTTTCATCAAGTGTATTTCTGATAGCCATGTTTTGTTTAACTTTATACTCATTCTTTACGCATCAGACCCTAAGGAACTCTTGATGTATTGGAATCAAGATAAATGGCCTCCAAAAACCACAGCCATCTCCTTTTGTGCTAGGTACATTCCAGCCAAAGAAGAATTTTCCCTTTGATTTCCATTGACTTCAATTTTGATACGGCTCTTTAATGCCACTGTCAGTCAAATACTGCTTTGGTATAAAAGGCAGTAACTCTCTCCATCCCTCTGTTCATGTTTGGACCAAGGTTATAATGAGGTCAGGAGCCGAGTATATGGTCCTCTGAAATGGAGCACTAGGGAGCAGCTATTGTTGAGTAAATGCTGTTTGATAGTATTTTTGATGAAACCTTGCAACATTTTGCTGATGTTTGAGATTAGACTAATGGGGTTAGAATTGACTAATTGCTTCTGCTTTTATCTTAGTTGGAACGTACCTGGATAATTTTCCACATTGTTGAGTGAATGCCAGCATTGTCTGAACTACACAATTGTCATTACTTGTACCATGCATGTTAATGGGACTTTGGCTCTGCATGCTCTGCTTTCATGCCATTTTTAAGTATTTCAGCTGGTGATAAATGTTATATATTTGCTGAATTCACATAGCATTCTAGGAAACATAAATCCACGCAACTGATTTACCAAACTGATGTGGGTCTGTAAATCCTAGTTGTTTGGCTATTAAAATAGTATTTTGTTAACTTCTTATGTTTTACTTTTTTTATCTAACTAGGACAACAAAACTACTTGTGTGCTGGACGAAATGACTGCATTATTGACAAAATCCGCAGGAAAAACTGTCCAGCTTGTCGATTACGAAAGTGTTTCAAAGCAGGGATGAACTTGGGAGGTAATTTTTTTTCTTTCTTTAAGTAAACATGTGTCATCCACTTTTAAAAAACGTGATTTCACTCGCACAAAAAGAATTCCTTTCTTAATCAGATAAACACTCCTTTCTTACTATGGCTCTTTGACAATACCATTTCTCAAGTTAAGTGTGTCCTGTATTTTATTGTACTAAAACACTAAAATGTATTGCCTAACATTGATGTGTTTGTATTAGGTGACAGAGAGGGATAGCATACAGTTCTACCGCCTCTGGAACTTCAGATCAAATCATGCCCATGATTGGTTGGATGCAAGGCTTTCTGCCCACTGGCTGCTGTGATATAGTTTGGCCTGTCGGTCCCACAATACTGAACTGTCCCTAATTTGACTCAATTTCCTGTAGAGGGATCAAACCTCCTTCCCAGATCACATGATATGGGAAGGAGGTTTGCCGTAACTATGCACTGACATGCCTTAATGTGTACAGAAATTTACTGTAAAGTAGTGATGTATTAAAATGTGTAGAGTTTATTTATTAGTATGACTTTCTATTGAGATTACTTGCAGAATCCTACTCTTAGTTAATAAAAGCACCGGTGTTACCTATGAGCAGGTAAAATCAGTCTCATGGCAACACTATTTTATCTCATTGGCAGGAAACTGAAATAAACTAAGAAGAATAACAGCACTGAATAAAATGCCTCTGTAGTTTAACTGAAAACCCAGAACTACTTGCACTCAAAATCAGAACCACTAAGGAAAATAAGATAATTTAAAATAATATTCAAGATTTTTTTAACATAAAATATTGGTATTTGCATTCTTAAATTAACATTTGCGTTTAATGTCTTAGTATCTATAACAATCATGTCCAAAGCAACATTACAATTCCTGAGAATTTGTTTTCAGTGTCTGCAGAAATAGGTAGTGATTAAGTATGTTTGATTTTGATTAAATTACAAGATCTGAATATTTGCAAAATAATGGAGTGAAATCCTAAAGTGCTTTAGACAGTGTTTTAGTAATATATGTTGAAAATTGCCCATTCACTCAGAGTCCTGTCACTATAAAGATTAGTCAAAAAACTAATGAGATGTCAGGATAGATCACAGAGACATTTGACTGCAATTCAGAATAAGTTATTCTATTTTTTCTTGTCAGACTGCATTTGGAATCTGAGGGACAACGTTAAACATTTGAACTCTTGTCATAGGACTGTGCCCGCAGGAGAACATGCTGGGAGTTTGTCCCTGTTTTTCCATGATTTTCCATCTCCAATGGGCCATGAGGAATGCACCTCCAAAGTTCTGATCTACAACTCTGAAAGCTTGCCATTATTATTTAAATAATCCATTACTATTGAAATAACCTTAGTCCTTTACACATTTTCAGTACCCTGGTTTTAAAAGAACATTTTTTCATTATGTTGTTTGAAGTAAGGCATTGAAAATCACTATGGGACTTGAGCTGGAAATTATGGGAAGATATAGGGAGAAGTCAACTTTTCTGAAGACACTAGCAATGAGATGATTTACAGGTATATAAAGTGCTGACAGGCATAAACAATTTAGATGTAATCACACTATTTAACATAAACTATGCCATCACAATAAGGGCGTAGTTTCAAAGTGAACAAACCATAAATATCAAATAAAAACCAAAAGAGTTGCAGCTGCTATAAATCAGAAACAGGAACTGAAATTGCTGGAAAAGTTCAGCAGGTCTGGCAGCATCTGTGAAGAGAAATCAGAGTTAATTTTTTGGGTGCAGTAACCCTTCCTCAGAGGAGTCAGTGAGAGGTAATGCTGTTGTCAAAGACTAGGCATTTGTAAGTAAAGGGTAATTGGTGATGGGATGCTGGCCTCTGAAGAGCTATTTCACTGTCACCTTAAAGGTTTATGCCCCAGTTCCCTGGCTGGCAACGTACGAAAAGAGGAGATGAAAGGGAAGCATTGCTGCATCTCTTGATTAGTTCATTGAAATTTGCACATTTCCTTCACAAAGGAAGTGTGAGGGAAGAGGTATAGAGATGGATCCTATGCTGAGTTATGGGAGGGATTAGCACAGTTACACGAATGAATGACTGTGAAGTCAGGGAGAACTCCAGCCACTTCTGGGTCAAAAAGAACATTTTAAACAGAATATTTAAAACAAACTATTTAGTGGCAGCTTTTGGGCCACTATTAGTTAAGCAAGCAATCCAAAATCTGTCTTTTCTCTATGAGCAGGTTCCCTGTGGAAGCATGGTTCCCAGTTAAGGCATATTCCATGTGCAATTCCCATTTTCAGATTAAAAATTGGACAAGTGCAACTTCCACTCAGCCCTTGTCACCTCTGTTAAATTTCATTATGAAGGCCTTTTCTGTGTTGAACATGAACCTCTTTGGCGTTCCCTGCAGAATTGTCATAAATCTCACAATGTGAAAGATTTCATAGCTGTTGCAAATATGTCTTTTGTTTCAGTCTTTTAAATCTTTTAATACTTTTAAATCCTGCAGCAGCCTGCACGTTTGAATGTCTGATGGAAAACTCCTTGTGATTAGCCATCCTGAGGCAGGAGCTTGACATATTATACAAATAGACTGACCCCAGCAGCTTCAGAAGGATTAGATCATTTCTTGGTCAGCAGAAGTAAATTGCACTGTGCAGTTTTTTCTTAACTCAGTTTTTTGTGTTTATAGAAATGTTTAAAATTATGTTGTCTACCAACAGTAAATTTAAAATTTTATTAGATTTTGAATGGTTTTCTTGGTGTCAGTAGATACTCAATGATATTATTCACTAGATAACACTGAAAATCCTTGTAAGTGTATAAAACCTCAGGTTTCCAAGTACAGGATCTGGTATGAAAGCTGAAATAAGATACAAGAAAACCAAAAAGATTGGTTATTATTATGTTCTTTGTCCCTTAGCACGGAAGTCTAAGAAGCTGGGGAAGGTGAAAGGGCTACATGAAGAGCAGCAACCACCACACAGTCCCAAAGAAGGAATCACGTTCACTGCTCCTTTACCAGAACCTACAGCAAGCACTGCACTTGTTCCTAACTTCTCACATATGCCACCACATATTCACCCATCGTTGATCACTATTCTTGAAGCCATTGAACCTGAAGTGGTTTACGCATCTTATGATAGCAGTCAAGCAGACACAACTAATCACCTGCTGTCCAGTTTGAACAAGCTGGCAGAGAAACAGATGGTTCGTATTGTGAAGTGGGCGAAAGGTCTTCCAGGTAGGACTGCAAAGAAATATTTAATTTTCATTTGTTATCCTTTGCATGCATGCTATTATTTATATTTTTAATGATAGAATTGTATTTTTCCTTCATATTTCATTATATTCCCAAAACACAAGAGTCTGATAATAAACTGCCTAAATATATTTAGGGCATTCACATTGAAACATTCACGTGGGCGTTTATCTAACTGCATATATGTGGTATGTATAGGTGTCCTATGCAGACCTATAGGCAAGTATGACAAAAACCTTATAAAATGATGTTTACAAGAAGCTATGTTTTGAAACACTGAGTAAATGACAGAACATATTTCAATGTATTAGCTTGAAACATGATTTTCTATTTCCGGGTTTCCAAATCTGTGGACACTAATTGTATTTAATTATACAACAATTACTGAATATTCAGATAATTTGGTACGAAAAATAATACTGTTTCACTCTCTTAATATAACAGTTAAATAGAGAAAAAAATTGATGACGTTAATTTATGAGATCAACAACACTTGCATTTATATAGTACTTTTGGCATAATAAAATGTCCTAGACATTGGGTACTAATTTGGCTAAGAAACTATGCTTACAACAAGTTTGTACATAGCTACAAAATTCTTGGGATTCTGTCAATGCCCTTATGGAATTATCACATTACATTGATGAAATCCCTCAGGGAAATGGTGGAAAACTGAGAGTGATCTCAGCACACCTGTGTGATCCTTTTCACAGCTTTTTGGCACCTATATGTCATTTTGCAATAGATTGGCAGAAATAAAATGGGGACATTAACACACAATTTTGTACATTTACCTCAGACTAGAGTGCTTGGGGCTGCATTAACTATTTGAAACATTATACATGGATGCTTAAGTAAGTGTGCACGTACAAAAGTTTTGTTTTAAGTTTTGACAATGTAATTTTGCTTAAGTAGACATCCTCCTTGAAGTGATTGTAATGAGGTCAGCCAGCTAGCTAACCTCATGAAGTATGAGTTCCCTGATTGGGACTGTTGATCTGGTCCAATCAGGGAGTCCTGGCTGACAGATAAAAAACATGAGTGTCAGAGATACTGACACTCTGGTACCTGATCTGAATGAGGCAGTACTGAAGTCAAGGGCTGTTTACATTTTAACAAAATGGTGATTTGGTGACAGGATACCGGCCTCCATGGTTATTTCATCTCTTGCCTATACTAACTGATTTGAATTGAACCAAATTAGGCTCATAAGCTTGAATGGAACAATTTGAATTAGTACCTGACCCCCAACAATTTGTGGTGGAGCATTTTTAATAATATCACAGCTAGATTGCAATTGATTTTGTTGTAGGTAAGATTCCATTTTAAGTTTTGATGAAGTATTTCCTTAATCTTGATATCCTGCACTCTGATTCCTCTGTATTTGCTTTCAATGCTAGTTGCTATTTAAAACTTCTTGATTTAAAAAAGGCTATTGTGATAAAACTAAGTAAGTTTGGTCATTAATGTATTTTGTGATGTGCTATCCCTAATTTGTGAAATCCTAAAGAACATTGTGTTGTGGCAAGCTGTCATTAAATTTAATTTGTTCCAAAGGGTTTTGAATTCCCTTGAACAATTCTGCCAGTTTATGAATTGCATGGTTGTACTATATCCTAAAATACAAAGCTGATAATGAGGGAGAAGAACTTGGATTAAATGAGAGTGAACAACCAGATAGACCATGTCCTCTGTGAATTATAGATGGATTTACACACCACCATGGTTTCTAGCTTTTGTTATTTTCCTTCCTTTTTAAGACTACGTAGTATTCATTGGCACCCTTACTTTGCAAAAGGTATGTGTGTATATATAGAATGTTTAATCAAGCAATTCTGGACCTGGCTGAAAGTCAGCATCCATGTAGATAGGTACAAAGACAAGATCCTAAATGTGCTGGAAATCTAAAATGAAAACCGAAAATGTTGGAAATATTTGACATGTTATGGACCATCTGTGGAGAGAAACTGGAATAATGTTGCAGGTGGCTGACCTATAATCAAAAGAAATACTCTTCTTTGAAAATCAGTATTTTGTGAATGGAGAAGATGCACTTAGTCATAGAGTCCTACAGCATGGAGACAAGCCCTTCAGCCCAACTGGCCCATGCCGATCGTCCATCCGCCTTAACCCCATTTCCCTGCACTTAGCCCATGTCCTTCTAAACCTTTCCTATCCATGTATTTGTCCAAAAGCCTTTTAAATGTTGTTAATGTACCCACCTCAACCACTTCTGTTGGCACTCTTTCCATATACATACCACCCTCTCTGTAAAATAAAAAGTTGCCCCTCAGCTTCCCATGTATTCTTTCCCCTCTTACCTTAAACTGATGCCCTCTAGTCTTCAATTCCCCAACCCTGGGAAAAAGACTGAGTGACGGCTATCATGATCTTATACACTTCTATAGGATCCACCCTCCATCCTGTATGCTCTAAAGAAAGAAGTTCCACCTTGTCCAACCTCTTCCTATAACTCAGTCCCTTGAGTCCTGGCAACATCCTCGTAAATTTCTTGTGCATGCGTTCCAGTTTAATAACGTCCTTCCTATAGCAAGGTGACCAAGACTGAACACAATACTCCAAGTGCGGCCTCACCAACGTCCTGTACAACAGCAACATAACTTCTCAACTTCTGTGCTCAGTGCCCTGACTAATGAAGGTCAGTGCACCAAAAGCCTTCTTCACTGCCCTGTCTCCCTGTGACTTCACTTTCAGAGAACCGTGCACCTGAACTCCAAGGTCCCTCTGTTCCGCTACACGCCTCAAGGCCTTAACCATTCACCATGAAACTCCTACCTTGATTTGACTTTCCAAAATGTAACAACTCATATGTATCTACATTAAACTCCATTTGCCATTTCTCAGCCTACTTCCCCAGCTGATCAAGATCCTGCTGCAGTTTCGAATAACCTTCCACAGTACCCACTATTTTAGTGTCATTCGCAAACTTGTTAACAATGCTTTGTACATTCTTATCCAAATCATGTATATAGATGACAAACGGCAATCTGCCCAGCACTGACCCCTGAGGCACACCAGTGGTCACATTCCTCCAGTCTGACAAGCATCCTTCCACTTATTACTCTCTGCTTCCTACCATCAAGCCAATTGTGTGTCCAGTTTGTCAGCTCTGCCTGGATTCCATGCGATCTATCCTTCCAGAGCAGTCTACCACATGGAAAGGTATCAAAGGCCTTACTGAAATCCATCTAGACGATGTCTACCGCCCTGCCCTCATCAACCTTTATGGTCAGTTCATCAAAGAACTCTAACAAATTTGAGAGGTATGGTCTCCCACGCACAAAGCCATGCTGACTACTCCTAATCAAAGCCTGTCTTTCCAAATGCATGTATATCTTACCCCTCAATCTTCTCAAGTAACTTACCTACCATAGATGTTAGGCTTACTGATCTATAATACCCAGGCTTTTCTTTGCAGCCCTTCTTGAATAAATGCACAACATTCACTACCTTCCAATCTTCTGGGACCTCACCTGTGGCTAACAATGATGCAAATATATCAGTCAGGACCCCCGCTATTTCTTCTCTAGCCTCTTGCAGGGTTCTTCGATATGTCTGGTCAGGACCAGGAGATTTATCCACCTTTGTACATTGTAATGCTTCCAACACCACCTCTAATATGATATGGACTGTCCCCAAGATATCGCCACTGACTTCCCCAAGTTCCCAAGTCTTCATGCATTTCTCCTTGGTAAATACAAAAGAGAAATATTCATTGAGGACCTCGCCCATTTCCTGCGGTTCCACACATACGTGCCCACTTTGGTCCACAAGAGGTCCTGTGCTCTCTCTGGTTATTCTTTTTCCTTTAATATACTTAAAGAATCTCTTTGGATTCACACTAATCTTCTCAGCCAAAGCTATCTCATGCCCCCTTTACGTCCTTCTGATTATCCTTCTTCAGTAAACTCCTGTATCCCCTACATACCTCCAGGGATTCCCTTGATCCCAGCTGCCTGTACCTGAGCCATGCCTCCTCCTTTTTTCTGCTCAAAGCCTCAATATCCCTTGTCATCCAGGGTTCCCTACTCCTGCCAACATTAACCTTTACCTTCACAGGAACGTATGGACTTGGAACTCTAGCCATCACACTTTTAAAAGCCTCCCACTTGCCAGAGGTCCCTTTTCCTGCAAACAAATACTCCAGTCAACCTCTGCAAGCTCCTGTCTAATTCCATCAAAATTTACCTTGCCCCAGTTTAGAACTTGAACCTGTGGTCCAGTTTTGTCCTTCTCCATAACTTTTCTAAAGTTAATAGAACTCTAGTCACTGGTCCCAAAATGCTCCCCCACTATCACCTCAGTCACCCGTTCTGCCCTATTTCCCAAGAGTGAGTCAAGTTTTGCCTCTTCCAAAGTAGGACTCTCTATATACTGCTTGAGGAAATTTTCCTGAACACATTTAACAAATTCCACTCCATCTAAGCCCATAACACTATGGCAGTCCCAGTCTATGTTAGGAAAATTAAAATCCCCCACTATGACAACCCTATTGCTCATGCAAGTTTGCTCAAGTCTTCCTACATATTTAATCCTCTAATTCCCGTTGACTATTTGGAGGCCTGTAGTACATCCCCAATGAAGTCACCATTTCCTTCTTATTTCTTAGCTCCACCTACAAAGCTTCACTGGATGATCCCTCAGCTATTTCATCTCTGAGTACTGCTGTGATACACCTCTTAATCAAAAATGCAACTCCCCCTCCCCTCTTTCACCACCTCTGTCCTACCTAAAGCATCTGTACCCTGGCACATTAAGCTGCTAGTCCTGTCCCTCCTTTAGCCATGTTTCTGTAATGGCTATAATATCCCAGTTCCATGTACCTATCCACACCCTGAGCTCATCAGCCTTACCTGTCAGCCCTCTTGTGTTGAAATAGATGCAATTTAATTCAAAAGAATTCCTTGCTCCCTGTCGTGTTCCAGCCTGACCTGTCTCTTCAACTTGTTGTTTCTGATTAC